AACCTACGGCTTGTTGTATCCAAGACCACTACCAAGGAAACTCCTGCCGCCTTTAATCACAAGGCGAGGACAGTGTATTGTAAGCGACATGTTCATCCGATTTTATGGGACTAGGTGTTGAAATTGCACATAAGCCTAAAGCTGCCTCGCGCAGCAGGGTCCGAATAAGTCGCACGGTGCACAATCTGTCCTTGTAAATACGGAGGCCAGACTGGATGCATAATCGGATCGACCATACATGACAATAAGTTAACTGAGCAGTCACCTTCGCATTCCCCTCACTAAGCATTGACTGGCTAGTTCCTCGTATAGGTGCAGCCTTTGGCTGTTGCTACTGTTATCTCTGACGATGAACTCCTGCACGATTTCGAAAGCTTAAAACAACAAAAAATGTTTCGGTACCTCCTTCTTTACTAAGAATAAATGATGGATGGATGAGCGTATGTGAAAAATACCTTCGGTGGTCAGCTCATGGATTTTCCAGACATCGTTCACTGTGATAGCGGGAATGGAATCCTTCGGATTGGATTGAGCATACTGCGCTATGGAGCAATGTTCCGACATGCTGGATGGGTTTGCCTACAGCAAAAAGAAATAAAGACAGGTGTGTCTACAAATACACAGTTAATCATTCACAAAAAAGGTAAAAGGGGTGCAACTGTTGGCGAAAAAGTATAAGAAATATGAGTAAGGAACGTGTGTGCTAGCCCCCAGAAGCTGCTTCCCGAAGCGGCAAGAAAATAAACATGGAATTATTGAGTGAAAAGTAGCTGAGAACAGATCGAATGGAAAACAAAAATGTCCATTTTAAAGTTACTAGGTGCAGTGCTGTTTATTATGCCTAAATGAGCTAAGCAAACCGAGGCATGTGATGACATGGATGGATTTCGACTTGGCTGAAATAAACGGCTGAAACTTACGGTCGCCCACATACTCGCGTGAACGGTTATACTCTATGGTTGTATTCAAATGAGGCGTCCATGACCGATCGAAGACTGCAATAGCTGCAGAGTAACCAAATCTGGATGAATAGTGATGAGTGACTTTTTTCTGTTGGGTTCGATGACAAAACAATCGCTATGTGCTGCGAAGGCGACACGTGCGTCGAGTTTGTGCAAGATATGCATATTCCAGAAGAATTCGATCGATGGTTTCCGCGTTCCAATAATCTAATGCGTCACCGTGATCACGTTTCCAACTGCCATATAGTCGGTTAAGAACATAAGCAATCAACTGCGAACCTATTCGCCGATCAAAGTGCCTAGACAAGCACAGCACAGACGTGAAGCCGAAACAGTCCATGGTATCACATGACCCTGGTCCTTTCTGCCACCGGCTTTGGCCTATGGCATTCTAGCTCAACGCTAGACATCTGAGTATTTATACAACTGGGTCATCGTAAACTACTACTAAATAACCACATAAGACTACAGCTGCTACTGTGCTGCTACAATTGCTAAAACTACTACTATCAGCACGATTACCACAACCTAAGACTGTATCGGTCAGTTGAACAACTTGAGGGATGACAGCCCTTGGAGGTAATCCAAAAACGTAAGATGCTGACTAAGACCTACCCATGATGCGCTTGAGAGAGTTGAATTATGATCATCCGCACTGGTAGACGAAGAAGAGGAAGAAGAAGATCGACGGATAGGCTCGCCGCAAGTAACAACCCGCCTAACCTCCGACACTGGCCCAGTCCACTTGGACTGCTCAGGAAAGCGAACCTGCACAACACATTGGGCGTCTTCAAGCGGGCTGGTGGATGGCTCGCCAGTAGCAGGAGTCTTGCTCGAAATCAAACCTGGGGTTTTAGGATCCTGACGCAGGAAGTACTTGCCTGTCACTCTACCAATACTCTGAGGTGTTACCTGAGAGAAAAGGAAGACAAGGAGAGGGAGAGGGAGGTCGTCAGTCAATGACGGTGGACATCGTAATCAATCAACACAGTGCAAAAGATCCCAAAACCATTGGGTGTCATTCACCTGAAGTAAAACACCACGTTTTCGAATTCTGTGGCAGGTGCCGAGGAGCCGAAGTCATAAAAATTTTATAAATCAGCCTTCCGATGCTCCGAGAAAGGGAGGACAACAGCTTGACGATCACATGGCTGTCGCTCTACAGACAATGATGGACAGTTTATAAATCCAGGCTAGAGTAATAGCCGCTGACTTCTGATCCTTCTTCCCGGAAGGGCGAAAACTTTATTGTGCTTTGTATGGGCTGGGAACCTCCGACAGTAACATAGATCAGACACACGGATAAGAATCCTTGGTACTAAGGTAACCTCATGCTTATTTTCCGGGGGGGGGTTTCATATTCCCATGTCCTAACAGGGTCACCAAAACGTCCAAAATGATTAGATCTTACCCAAAAATGTATTAAGTGCTTTGAAATGAAAGAGGTTACCTGGGCGGAAACCCGAGAATAATATTTTATTAGGAGTGTCTGGCAAATTTGAATAATTCAGTTGACCTAATTGTGAAAAATTCCCGTTCTCAGTGGGAGTCGAACCCCCGCGCAGCAGGGAAGGCCTTTGCGCATCTAACGCTCTACCACTGAGCTACGTGGCTCACCGTGAGCCGTGAATTTAATCACACTTGGGTCGATTTAGCCACCCAACCTACTGCGCGTATGGAATCTACCATTATGGATACAGCAAGCTGACTGCCCAGGCAGGATGTCCCAAGGAATCATTTAGAATCCACCAGAATGACTACTAGGCTCACAGTAGTAATTGCTAACCAGTCATGCTGAATGTGTCTTCGGCCAACGGAGCACTTAATTGTTAGAAGGGTTTGGCACATTTGAATAATTCAGTTGACCCAATCGTGAAAAACTCGTGGCCTCGGTAGGAGTCGAACCCAACCTACTGCTCGTATGGAACCCACTATTACGGACTGTCCAAGCAGGATCTTCTAAGCAGTAAGACAATAGTCTCACTCTACCTGGAATGATGGCTTTCAAATAATGCGTACCACTGCTTAACAGTGGCTACTTGGTGGCTCTTACTATTCTCTTCTTTTCTTAATGCAACTATAAAGCTAAGGCTTGAAATGTTGTAGTTGAAGGCTGGAAAGATTATTGCTCTGAATAAACTCTGAAGTGCGCTTGAGCCTGAATAGAACACAACGCCTAGCGGCAGGTCCGACCAACCATTGGGAAATCTAAATGCATCTACAGTAGGCATCAAAACTCAGAGCAAGCGGGGTGGCGTCGATTTATCTTGCGGAGGCAGAGGAGCGGGGTAACTCACCTGTCCCCAGCCCCATCGAGGCTCGGCAACACAAATCTGGACTCGGTCGCCAATAGCAACATAGGAAGAGAGTAGCGAGTTCGAGGATGACGCCAGGGAACTCCCTAGACTGTGCTGGCGTTCGGGCGAGGGGGAGGCCGACCACATCGATCTTGGGCAGTGGGAGGCAGGGTTTTCGGGTGCGCCGATGCGCCGACCAGGCGGCAGCGAGGAGGTTGTTTTAGC